AAAATCCATTGGATTCATTAGCAAGTGGGGTTTGCTTTTTATGAGAGATCCTCTGATAGCTCACGCTTTTTAATGAATTCTCTTAGTGGTTAAGCAGGTACTGGAATGGTTAAAGACACAGATGGACTTGAGAGTCATTTAATGTGTGATAACTTGGCAAAGGCGTAATTGAGAAATGGGAATAAGTTAGATATTTACTTAAAATGTAGGACTTTCCTTGTAGCTCACTCGATAAAGAATCTGCCTGCCATGCAGGAGACCCGGGTTTGATCCCTGGGTCGGGAAGATCTCCTGGAGAAGGGAATGGCAACCCTCTCCAGTATTCTTGCCTGGAAAATCCCATGGACAGGGAGCCTGGCCGGCTACAGTCCACAGGGTCTCAAGAATTGGACACGACTTAGTGACTCCTCCGCCACCAGCAGGCATAAGGTTAAAGCCACTGTGATGATGTAAAAGGAGCGTGGAAGGTGAGGGATGCTGGGGACCAAGCGTCTGTGCTCAGCAGGCCTGATGCCCTTTCCCTCTACGCAGCTTTTCTCATTAGTGTAAACTTGGGTTTCACTTCAGCTGTGTTAAACTCGCCATTTCTCTTGATTGCTTATGGTTCTGAGATGTTATCAGCAAATGCATTGCAGCGTGCAAAAGAGCCTGGCAAAATAATCCATCTCTTCTGGAAACACCTTTCATAAAGTTTGCCTCCTAGGGTGTACTTTTTAAGGGCTAACTAATTGCCTTATTCTGCATGACCAGCAGCAGTGGTCTTGGGTTCAGCTGGACGTTCTCAAAAGACCCAGTAGACCATACCTGACATCAGCCTCCCACTGCCTTGTTGAAAGATGCAGATAGAAAACCCGACCTGGCAACATCAGGTGTATCATTCCAGGTGACAGCTCAGGCCGGTGGAAAGAGGATGCAGGGCTGGGAGCAGGCGGTGCTGTGAGCGAACTGCTTCATGCTCCACAGGAAATGGGATCTTTTGTTGTGGGACACGGACATAGTGTCCAGGACTCAGCAGAGAATGTGCCAGGCACACACCTTACCCCACTCAGCCCAGACTTACCTCTGCAGTGGCGTCAGGTTCACCACACAGAGTGTTCCTCGAAAATATTTCTGATCGCCTACCTGTAGGCGGTTCCCAGGGAAACAGTGCTTGAGGGTTAACCAGAGGTCATTATTTTTTCATGGAGAAGAGGTTTTGTTACCCCTTTATTCACACTAATTTTTTTGGCAAAACAAATGGGAAACTTATTGCTAGCTCTAGGATATGTGGACTGTTTTCAAGGGAAGTGTCCATTTTTTACTGACCGTCCTAGCATCTGGGTTTATGCGAAGTTATTTTTACATCCCACCAGATGGCTCAGGTTACGGCTTGAGTAATTGTACTTCATTGATAGTTTCATCAGATTTGTTAAAGAAGAAGTCCTTCCTGGATTGTTTGCTAGCTCCAGTTCCTTTAAGAGCATGGAGGTGTGGTACAGAATGGGGAGCAGAAGTCATTGGCAAATTGGGTTAGGAAAAATAAAGCAGTCCGTGAGCAGAGATCTCTTTAAACCACCTGTATGCCCCAGTGTGTTAAAGAGAAGACACGCACAGTCTCTGGAACATTTTTTAGTAACCAGTCCTCAAAATTGACTTCCATTTGCTATTCCTCAAAGTGAATTGACTTTTATTGACTTGCACAGTGTAACAATCCATTACAAGATTGCATTTGTGTATCACAAAGTCATTTAATGTAGGTGACTTTTCAGGAAAGCTTTGTGGAAAACTGCGAGGTTAATCCTATTATTCCTAAGCAGTAATGGACGGAAATATGCCACTTTTCTGATGTCCACTCTTAAATATACATGTCCAGTGTCCAGAATGCAGTTACATGGACATTTAAAAAATTTTCATTTTACCGAAAAGAAAATTCAAACTGAAAATAAGTGATACACCCAAGATTACTTAACAAATACATGGTAGAGCAGACTTTAAGGTGATGGAATTTTACTGTGTTTTTTTCCTAATATGTCACAAAACAAATGATATTTGAGTTACGCATCTCTCTGATACTTCTGTCATAAATGATTGGCTTGACTGTGAAAAATAAAAAAGTACCTTTTCACTAAAGAAATATCTTAAATGATATACTTTTCCCAAATGGTACAGTGCTCTAGTATATTTGTATGTTATATCCCAAATCTTATTAATCCTAGTCATTATACAAACATTCTTTTGTTTTGAAGTATAAAATCCAGTCTATTTCCAGATTTTCCTAATACAAATCCTAGGTACAAATGAAAGTCATTCTCTTACACTTACATAAATAAAGAGTACATTAAGTAAGTGTCAGCATTAGGTGCAGAGGAAAGTGGGCAGATGTGTCACTGAGGCCCGCCCCTACAGTGAAGGCTGCAGAGTAGCCCTGCCCCGTGTACTGGGGATGGGCAGCGGTCCTGGACCGCCAACTGCGTCGCTGGGCGGCCTGGACGGTGAGTGCAGCCCCGGCGCCCTCGGCTTGTTGAGCCCAGTGTGGCCCCTTTCAGCCTGCTTCTCACCCAGGCCTGGCCACTGACGCTCAGGCTCTGCTGCTGTGTCTTTTAGGCTTGGATTTTTGTCTTCACCTCCCACACCTGCTTTTCTCTGGCCTATCATCGAGCTTACTGTAATAAAACTTGCCACAGCTGGGTGGCAGTGTTGATTTCAGAGAAACTTCAGAAAAATGCTAAGCTGTTGGTTTGTATTCAGAGTCTTTTGAACAAAAAACTCAAATTTGAAAATCCATGTTTAGTGAAATAGTTAACTGTTTTTGGTGAGATAATGATGAAAAATTAAATCTATTAAATCATCGAACTCGTCTTTATAGCCAGCATAATTTAACTTGATCTTCAGTATTTGATGAACTAAAATGCTACATTTAAAAATTTATGGCATACAGTAAAGTTTTAAAAATAAGTCATTAACAATTATTTATTAAGTTTAAGACTAACTTATTTATTGATAGTTTTGTTAGTAAAAGAGAATTTTTTTTAATGGTAAATACTTGCGTAGATGACAACGAAAAATTATAGCATCTCACCTCTTTTGCCTTTTTAAGACAGTATGCCTAAACTTTATTTGATTATAAAAGCATTGACTTCCGAAAGCTTTTCTTTTGTATTTTCTTTACATCAGTTATATTTTTCAGCAAAGTTTTAAAAGAGTTTTCCTCCAGTGAGTAATTTTCTTCACTTACCTCTGGTTCTCAGATAGAATTTCTGTATCTTTTTTTCACACCTATCCCCCAAGTGTTTATAGCCTTATCAGTACACCGTAGCAGTCTTTGTTGACTCATTGGTATGAAATTGCAGTAAGGGCTGTGTAGCACGTTGCACAATGCTAGCAGTCTAAAGTTTCTTTTAAATCAGTTGTGAAACACAGATTATTAGACTCTTTCTTAAAAATAATACAGTATTAGAAGAGGCTTCCCAGGTAGTGCTAGTGGTAAAGAATCTGCCTGCCAGTGCAGGAGATGCAAGGGACAAGGGTTCTATCCTTGGGTTGAGAAGATCCCCTGGAGAAGGAAATGGCAACCACTCCAGGATTCCTGCCTGGAAGATTTCATAGACAGAAGAGCCTGGTGGGCTACGGTCCATGGGGCCTGAAAGAGTCGGACACGAGTGAGCGATTGAGCCAAATTTTAAATTATTTTTTAAATTTAGCTATGCGAACCTCCAAATGGGGGGGGGGTACTTTTTTTTTTATCCTAGTTTAATTATAATTTTTTTCTATAATGTGGAAAATTGACAATAAAATATATTGGATTGATCTTGACAGATTAGACTCTGTTAACTCCCTCTTTAATAAAACTTGCCCTCAACCTACTTAGCTCAATAAAGATGTAGGATACAAAATCAATGTACAAAAATATGTTGTGTTTCTATATGCTAATAATGACCTATCAGAGAAATTTAGATAATCTCATGTACGGTTTCATCAAGAAGAATAAAGTAGGTAGGCAGAACACTCCTTGACATAAATTGCGACCATGTTTTTTGGATCATGGAAACAAAAGCAAAAAATAAGTAAATGGGGCCTAATTAAAAGATTTTGCATAGCAAAGGAAACCATAAACAAAATGAAAAGACAACTTATGGACTGGGAAGCAATATTCGCAAACCATGAGACCAAGGGCTTATTTTCCAAAATAGACAAATAGCTTATACAGCTCAATATCAAAGACACAGCAAAACACCACAACCCAATCAAAAAATGGGCAGAAGACCTAAATAGACATTTCTCCAAGGAAGACATGCACATGGCCAGCGGCACGTGAAAAGAAGCTCAGCGCCTGCTAATTAGAGAAATAGACATCAAAGCTGCAGTGAGGTACCACCTCAGACATTCTCATTGGAAGGAAAGGATGTTGTGCCTGCCTGTGTTGATGGCTGTTAACTAGAGTTCAGTGGTGGTCATCATACAGCATGTACAGTAGACCTGAACCTAATGTCATGTGTCAGCTTCACTCCAGTTAAAAACCTGCCCTCACCCTCCTCGGCTGACCAGTGGGTGCCAGGGGCCTTGGCGGCGTGCGGCCTGGCTTGCGGGCTCTCCGTGCAGAGCGGGGGCGCAGTCAATCCAGCTAGGCTCCTGAGCCTCTGTTCCCTTCTGGAAAACACTGGGAACGCGGCATCAGTTTGTTTTCCTGTTAAATCAAGGAAAATACATGGATGAAAGTATTTCTTAATGCATGTTTTAAAAAAGACCTGCATTTTTTTTTCTTTTTAGAAAATGGAATATAATTTGATGCATATTTGTCTTTCGTCAACACAGCAGTGGAGGGTGAAGGCAGAGCTTAAGGACCGAGGGGACCAAGAGAGTTAGAGCAGTCGGTTTTGTGGGTGGACTGACGTAGGTTTCCAGGGATTCTCCTAGTGACGGAATTTGTTATATCATGGATCTGACTTTTAAGCTAATAGATACACGTCGCCTCACTAACTCTCTCTCTCTCTTTCTCTCTAGGATACTTGCAGAGAGCCACAATGGAAAAGTCCTGGATGCTGTGGAACTTTGTTGAAAGATGGCTGGTAGCTTTGGCTTCCTGGTCTTGGGCTCTCTGCCGCATTTCACTTTTATCTTTAATAGTGACCTTTCATCTGTATGGAGGCATTGTCTTACTTCTGTTAATATTCATATCAATAGCAGGTATTCTGTATAAATTCCAGGATGTATTGCTTTACTTCCCAGAACAGCCATCTTCTTCACGCCTTTATGTTCCCATGCCCACTGGTATTCCACATGAAAACATTTTCATCAGAACCAAAGATGGAGTGCGTCTGAATCTTATTTTGATAAGATACACTGGAGACAGCTCACCCTATTCCCCGACTATAATTTATTTTCACGGGAATGCAGGCAACATAGGCCACAGGTTGCCGAATGCCTTGCTTATGTTGGTGAACCTCAAGGTTAATCTTCTACTGGTCGACTATCGAGGCTACGGAAAAAGTGAAGGAGAAGCAAGTGAAGAAGGACTCTACCTTGATTCTGAGGCTGTGCTGGACTATGTGATGACCAGACCCGACCTTGACAAAACAAAAATTTTCCTTTTTGGCCGTTCCTTGGGAGGAGCAGTAGCTATTCATTTAGCTTCAGAGAATTCACATAGGATTTCAGCCATTATGGTTGAGAACACATTTTTAAGCATACCGCATATGGCCAGCACTTTATTTTCATTCTTTCCAATGCGTTACCTTCCTTTATGGTGCTACAAAAATAAGTTCTTGTCCTACAGAAAAATCTCTCAGTGCAGAATGCCTTCTCTCTTCATCTCTGGACTCTCTGACCAGTTAATCCCACCAGTAATGATGAAGCAGCTCTATGAGCTGTCCCCGTCTCGGACTAAGAGATTAGCCATTTTTCCCGACGGGACGCATAACGATACGTGGCAGTGTCAGGGGTACTTCACGGCCCTCGAACAGTTCATCAGAGATGTGATGAAGAGTCCTTCTCCTGAAGAGATGGCCAAAGCGTCATCCAACGTGACAATTATATGATGCTTTTCCTTTTCATTAATGCACTGTATTTTAATTTGTGCAGAATGATAAAAACAATACTCCTTTCTAGAAGTGTGTTATGTCTGTACTTGTCTGAAGAGTGACATTAAACTTTGAAAGGACTTCAGTGCTCCTTTAAAATGATCCAAATAGTTTTTTACATTTGAAAAACTATAATTACTGGGATTATTTCATACATTTTCATCAACCTTTTCAGTGTGGTTGCATATCCATATCTTTAGTTTAATATGCTATTATAGCATATTCAAAAGTTTCTTGTTGCTCAAGATGTACGTGTAATCCGTGTGACACTTAGATTAATGACTAAGTGTGGAAGGAGGCACACTTAGTAAACGAGAAACCTTTGGGTATTATTCCTTTAGTAAATATTGGGACAATCATGGTGAGCAAACTTCATTCTGTAATTGCATTTTTCACCTTAAAAATGAAAATGAAATGCATGGTGGTATTTTATTCTTTGACTTATGCAATGCACTGTTTTTAATGTAAATAGTACTGATCATATACCAGTGTATATGGTAACCTGGGTTATATCTATTTTTATGTAAACTCTATTTTGTTTTTAGCCAGAAGCGAAATTGAGGCCTGTGTGCCAGGTCGCCGTTGACTTTTGCTCTGCTGAATCCTGAGATCCAGCCTTTTGTTCAAAATAAATGGGACCCCCTTTTCCAGTGTAAATGTACCATGTTTTGTTAGGTACAGTCTGGATCATGGCATGTAAAAACAGAAATTGAGACTTTTACTGCAGCTTTGATGTGCATATTTGAACTTTTTAACATTTGTATCAATAATTTTGGTGGCAAAAAGAATTTTAGCTTCTGTCAGTTTTGTAAGTCTACAGCTGAACCACTAATAGCAGTCATAATGAAGATCAGAACGTGTTTTAAGAGTCAATTAGGAAGTCTTATTACATTATTGTACATACTGTTTTACAAAAATTCCTACATTTGCTTTTTTACATCCAAATATCTAAGTGGATCTATCCCACTGAAGCCAAGGTAACATTTATTGGACTTTCTGAAAATAGAAGTGACAAAAACAAAATTAAATGAAAATTATATTCTTCAGCTTAATGTTTCAATTATAAAATAGAGGAGCTGCATCAAAAGACAGCTTTAGGAAGTCTTATTTATTCATTTTCTACATGTGAGAATGTGTGAGTGAAAGAACTTTAGAGCTTTTTATCACAGAACCTATTACTACATTTATAAATGGCCGTAAGTGAGAAGTAGTATTTAGACATATAGAAGAGTAAGAAAAATCTTACTTTAAACAAGAGCCCCTTAAACTTAAAATTTAAGATTTACCTGAAAAAACATAAGCAGTCCTCAAGAATTGGAGGTAATTGAGATGTGTACGTTATTACGTCAGCTCTAACGTATGCTGTTTTGATTATTTTAGCTGTATTTATTGGCTTTGTGCAAGCAGTTCAGGTAGCGAAAGAATGGGTCAGTAATCTTGACCTCAGTTGAAGACTCTTTTCATGAAGACAGGGCTAGAGACACTTGCCAAATCACATTCTTGTCTCTTTCTGTCAGTGTTTAGGAAAAAATAAAACCCAGCAAGTGTGATTTCTCAAGGATAATGTTTTCTATAAATTGTAAAAACGTCATGCTTTTAAAAAAATTTGGAAATGCATATCATAGAAGGTGTATTCTGCATGTATAAATTCACGACAATTAAAGGCTGCTTTCACCCTGTCAATCATTGCTGTGTAGAATGACTATCCCAGATAGTGATGCATTAAAAAGAATGAAGACACGAAAATGTAGTGTATCTAGACATGAGCTTACCCAGACTCGTGTCATTTTTAGCGTGTACAATGTACATTATGTTTTCTTGTGATCATTAGTACACTGTGGAGCAGTTCATCAACTTTAGTTATAAATACTATACTGATGAGGCATAGAAAGCTTTTTCTTCATCAGTGTTTAATGCTGCTGTTTTTCTTAGTACTTCAGGTTTATTTGTTTGTTTTTTTAGCAACCTCCCCACCCCCTGTTTTCGCACCAGGACTTCGGAAATTGCATGTGTCCCATCCCTATCTTCGTTTTTCTCTTTGGGTTGAGGAGCTTTTCTGCAGCAAAGAGGAGAGGTTGTGTCTAGGGCTGTAGTATTTAAATCTTTCTTTCCTAGCTGCTTCCTCTATTTGAGACTATTTCCTTAGATGGAAAACAGGTGGAAGACAAAACTCCTGTTATCAGGGGTTCATGAAGCCCATGGCATCATTTTTTTTTTTTAACGTCTAATTTTGTGGCTAAAGCAACTGGTCAATAAAACATGAATTCATGAGTCACACCTTCGTTTTGGACTCTCATCTCTTAGCGGGTATAGGCTTGTGTCCATCCTGTTTTTAATTTCTGTCTCATTTATGCAAGAGCAGCTGGAGGAGTTTTTAACTGTAATTTGGAAATCCTAGAGTGATTTTCAAAATGGAAGAATAAAATTCATTGAGATCAAAATCCATTATTTTAAAAGGGGTTATTGGAAGTAAAATGGTGAAGAGCCTAAAGAAAGAAACTGAAAAATATAGGAGGAAGTCATTCCTAATAGATAAAAGAATACTGACAAGGTAGAAACAACTAGAAAGTAAATGTGACATATTGTCCCTAAGGTTAGATCTAGGATGTCATTAGCTGCTGAGGTTGGTGAAAAGGAAGCAGAACATGTGAAGGCAAGGCGTTTCTAACAGAAGGCAGCTGGAGCACCTGTTAACTGTATCTACCCTATGTTTTTGCAAATACTTTGTAAAGCTGGTATTTTCATTAAAATGGTATTCTGAATTTTGTTATGGGGCAGCTTAAATTTATTTTTTTCGTGACTGTAGACAGTTGATAATAACCTGTGTTCCACCTTTGTATCACCAGATTAATGATACTGTAATACTTACTGAGGATTCATGCCACCTGATGCTTTCATACTCATTTCTTACGAGTAGTTTATAACGTTTGGCTTAAGATGGGTCTGGGCTTGTTTGGTGGACTTAATGAAGGCCATATTTAATTTTATATAAACTATCATGCAAGCCCGGCCAAAGTGTAGTTTTTGATTGAGTCCCTTCCTTGAGGTGAGGAGTAAATATGGTAAGTCTTAAAAAGGGATGTCACGGACATCCCTTTTTAAATTAGGTCGTGATTGAGAGAGACCCCAAACCTCCACTGACCTTACCCCTCTCTGTTTTTCTTAATATGTTTGACTGCAGGTACAGAGAAAGAAACGTGAAAAGAGTACTTTGGGATTATCTGCTTAAATTTATGTATTTTCATATCACTCAGGTAAAGTTGTGAATGACAGAGCACAGACATCTATTTTTTAAATCAGAGTAGAAAATAAAAAGTACTTCTGTTAATTTATATTGCCATATATGCACATCATCTTAGCTAATCAGAAATAGTGTATTCATTTCTGTGGCGAAATAAATGCATTCATTCTAATAGTAGTCAACACATTTTTGCCAGATGGCGCAAATATACCTCCATTTATATTTTGTTTCTCAAAAATGTAGTTTAACAATAGGACTGTGTATAAGAGACACTTTTATGAAAAGTGTCATATATACATATGTAACAGGGATGAGTGTATGTTGAACAATTTCTGTCAGTACACCATATGCTGAAAATTCAAGTTGTTTTCAACCTATTCAAATACATTCAGGATAAACTAAGTTAATCCAGTTTCAGAATGTAAATCATATTTTGTTATTTGCCATATTTTATTTGAAGCCGTAATAAAATTTTATAACTCAGATTTGAATGTTTTAGTGCATTATGTGGTAATCATGGCAAGCAAACACTTACATTTGTTTTTTTACAATAAATTTCTTTTAAAATATACTTTCTATTTTTCTGTACTGACATATGCAATAAATTGATACATTAAAAGTTTGATTAATGTCTTAAGATAGTTTGTTTTTGGTCTTTTCTATTAACCTAAATTATATGAAAGGACATTAACGCTTCCTCAGTGGTCAAATAAACTACTGAATTTGTACTGAAATTAATGAATTTTTATTGGTGTGAATAGAAAGTAGAAGTTAGATCTACTTTCTGTTCCCTCATATTATTCTCCCACATTCATTTCATTTAGGCTAATATTAAATATTTCCTATGTGTGAACTGCCAGTTAATGAGACCCAAAGCATTTGATTAGTTACGTTAATCTAGGAATGACTGGATTTTAAGTGTTCTTAGTTAATGTTGCCTTGAGAGTTCATAAAGTGCCTTTTCGTGAAATTCTGCTTTTCTTCTCATTAGTATTGAGTTAATGATTTGGGACTGATTATAAAGATGCCCCAACAGTCACTCGACTTTTAGGGGTCTGTAGCTTGCTTTCCCTAACCAGAGATCTGTTTGCTTAGATCATGTCAGAACCAGCGAGATGACAGGAAAGTGGCCCCCTGCAGGCAGAGATGAAGATGTCACCTGGAAGATACTGTTGTTGCCCGGGTCGATCTGGGGCAAAGTAGGATCCCTGGTGTGCCTCCTTGTGGGATCACCAACCTGGATTCCCGGTGGAGCAGTTTTCAGATCTCTAGTTCTTAACTTTCAAAGGGTAATTTTTTCTACATTCCTGTATCACTCTCTAACTCTTTACACCCTAAAGATGGTGAGTAGTTGGGTCTGGTTAGAGAATGTAACTCCTGCCTTATCAAGGGGAGTGAGTGATAGTTGCTCAGTCATGCCTGACTGCAACCCCATGGACTGCATTACGCCGGGCTCCTCTGTCCATGGGGTTCTCCAGGCAAGAACACTGCAGTGGGTTGCCATGCCCTCCTCCAGGGGACCTCCCTGACCCAGGGATCAAACCCACTCTCTTATTGTCTCTTTGGCAGTCAGGTTCTTTACCACTAGTGCCACCTGGGAAGTCATATATATATATGTGTGTCTGTGTGTATATATACGTACCCATGCTCCAAACATCATGAAGTATGATTCTCTAATTCTTTCCAAAGATGCTTGAAGTTCCCCTGCATCCCTTCA